TAACTGTGTGCTGGGGAAGGCTGGTGAAAATGAGCATCTTGGGAAGTGATGGGCAAGAAGGTGAAAAAATTGGGTAGGAAAAAGAAAGATTCAGAGGCCTTCTCCGTGGGAAGTGAGAAGGGATTACAGACTGGTGCCGAGTGAATTTTTGTGCCATTCTTTTGCCTCTGCTTTTCCTGACACCACATCATTCGAAGGAACCAAAGATATTCCACAACTACGGCTATTGTGTAGAGTTGAGGGCTTCCTCAAATGCAGGATCTCATGATCGCCTCAATTCGGGGTATATGATCAACAGTCCTGATCACGCACAGGAAGCAACCCAGAGGGCAGTTCAAGAATAACGGGGAGGTCTTTCAGCTGTGGAAGAGGCTGTCTTTAAACATCTATCCCCTGTGCATACAAGGAAGCACTTGAAAAGCCTTCCTGAAGGGTTTGGCAGAGCTACAGCCCTTAGAAAGATCTAGCTTTTGGTGTATGGGCTTGGTCTCTATGGGTCACCGTTTCTTGTTCTGTGGAAGTGGGAATGGTGCTTTCGTAGACGTGTTGAGGGGATTAAGAACAACATAGAAAGGAGAAGCAAGCACGGAAGAATTATTTACATCTATCTGGCAAGAGCAGTTAGCAGTGAGAATGCTTTCACAGCCACACTTTAGTCATTTGGCATTTTTCAAGAAGAAGGGTTCCACAAAAAGGAATCTTGGCGTGAACCAAAGATTGGTCTTCTAAACATCAAAACTTCCGATTTTAAGCCTTTTAACTCAACTCTTTCTAAAACATATTCCGCATATCTTTTCCTTTAAAACATGGAATATACTGAGTATCATTTCAAATATTATTGATGACTCTGGGTCATAATTAAAAAAAAAACCTCTTATTTGGAAATAAACTTAGAGAAGTTGCAAAAATAAAAATAATGCAAAGAAAATTGAATATAGCCTTTACCCAGACTCATTAATAGGATTTTCTCCATTTGCGTTAGCTTTATCATTTGATCTCTCTCTGTCTCTGTCTCTTTTTCTAATTTTCCCAAGGTAAGTTACCTACATTATACATCATGTCCCCTACGTACTTTAGTGTCCATTTCCTAGGATAGTATTCTTTTACATAACCACAGAACTACTTTCCATTTGGTAAATTCAGGATGGATACGATATTTTAATCTTCAACTTGTATTCTAGTTTTGTTGACTGATCCAGCAGCATTTACGATTTTTTCCCCTTTAGTACAGGACTGCAGGGAGGGTACAAGACCCAGTCTACAGTCAGAAGTTGCTTTTAATGGTAATGTCTCCACCTTCATTTAACATGGGACATTCCCACAGCTTTTCTTTGTCTTCTAGGATACTTACAGTTTGGAATAATTGAGCCCT